GTGTGTGTGTGTGTGTGTGTGTGTGTGTGTGTGTGTGTGTGTGTGTGTGAAAGAGAGAGAGAGAGAGAGAGAGAGAGAGAGAGATGAGGAGGCTGCTTTGAGTCTAAAATCAGGGAGATTTGTGTTGTGGAGCATTAAAAGATGAGATCAAATAGGAAAAATTGGATCAGATCATGAAGCCACATGCAAGGTGTAAAGTACAAGATTTTAGTTAGCTTTGATCCAAAGAAGTTAAGGTGCCACTTGTGGCTTCTGAATTAGGGGTGATAATTGTGATAATTTTAGAAAATTAATTTGACTGTTGCTTTCCAATTTTGTAGAAGGTAAGTGGGGCTGGGGGTTAGGAAAACTAATTAGGAATATGTGGCAGTAATTGATAAGAATGAACGCTTTGATTAGAAAAAAGTCAACAGGGTAGATTAAGCTGAAGCATAAGAGAGGAGAATTTTTTTTTTTCCTGGGAAAATTCTTTTTAAAAACAACCCTACCCCCATTTTAAAAGTTGAGGAATTTTTTTTTTTTAAAGATTTTATTTATTTATTTGACAGAGAGAGAGATCACAAGTAGGCAGAGAGGCAGGCAGAGAGAGAGGAAGGGAAGCAGGCTCCCTGCTGATCAGAGTGCCCGACGCGGGGCGCGATCCCAGGACCCGGAGACCATGACCTGAGCCGAAGGCAGAGGCCTAACCCACTGAGCCACCTAGGCGCCCCCAAAAGTTGAGGAATTTTTAAAGAAAAGATTATTTATTTTTAGTTATATTGGTGGGGGAGTGTGCAGAGGGTGAGGGTGAATCCCAAGCAGACTCCCCAGGAAGCATGGAGCTGGATGTGAGGCTCAGTTCCACAGTCGTGACCTGAGCCAAAATTGAGAGTGGGACACTTAACTGACAGAGCCATCCAGATGCCCCTACAAGTTGAAGAGGAATTATTAAAATGTAGTTGCCGAATTTTAAGAATAGAAACCAGAGCAAAGGTGATGATACTTGTAAGTGGGAAAGTTATAAAGGAGAGCTATTTTGTGAGTAAGGATACATTTTCTTTTATGTCGAATTTAACTGATGGTTAGACATCCAGTTGGCAGTTTCTCAGTTGTTACAGAATTTGTTTGCAGTCATTCAGTATCAGGGAGAAAATCCTCGCATAATCCCTGTGATAATTACTTTAGAAAATTCAGACTATTTGGCATACTGCCTACTTCCATGCAGAAGTAAAGATACTTAAGCATTTCTGAGAAATTAGGGATTACTGTTAGGACAATAAATGTGTAAGATTTCACCTGTTCCCATTAATTCTTAACATCTCACTGCCTAGCATTTTGTTACGGATACATGGATGAATGATAGTTTCTATAGAGTTACTAATATTCTAATAGCCATAGTGAAATTTAATAATTAAGTAGCTGTTAGTCCATTAATACTGGCTTTAGTAAATATAAAGTCATAGTAAATATAAATAAATATAAGGTCATAATGTGTGACCTTGAGTTTGCCTGTTTTGTTTTTACTTGATACTGATTACAAAATAGCTTTTTTTGTCCTTTCAAAATTTTTTTTGACATTCTTAAAACTTTTTTCTTTCAAAATACTTAAGAAAATAGTTCTGTCATTTTTGAAGTTCATAGTTAAAGAGATCTCACAGTACTGCAGATGCTTTTGAGTTTTGTATATTTTGGCCTGAATAATCCAGGCAACAGCTGAAATTCTCCCTTTAAATTTATGGCCTGTGACAGTGTTGACTTTTCATACTATTATGAGAATCTCAGAGCACACATGGGTAAATGAAACTTCAAATTTAGGAAAAGTGAAAAAAAATTGAGAAAAATTGGGGTTGCTTTGTTAATGACACATTTGTATAAGTGTGGCAGGAAAATACCCATATGAACACCAGGGAGAGTCAATTATTTGTTGCCCTCATATAAAAATCATGTGTACTTATTTAACTTTTTATGATAGTGAATTAAATTGGGGAAAAACTCGTGTTTTATTCTATGCATTGTTCAACATTAATCATTTTAAACACCAAAATTGCCTGTTAAGGGTACTTGTGTCTGTGAGCTTACAGAGCTTTGGTTGAATGATGGAAGACTCAATTTTATATATAGATATAAAACATAGTATATATTTCACTACAGAAATTGTGACTATACTAAGTATTTAAATCTTTTTAATATCTTTGGAAATATTTGAAATATTTCAGTTTGGAAAACTGAAGATCTATTTATCTGAGATTTTTATAACTGGAACTTCTGAAAAATAGCCTGTTTTGTTAGTAAATTAGTTTAAGGCTGCTAGCAAGTCAGACAGTAGCCATGAAAAGAACCTCTACAGCCAACATTAATTTACTGGGTTCAACAGGACAAAACTCTATGACATGATAACTGATCTGAGAGATAAATTGTTCCTCATCCCTTCAGGACTTTTTTTAAGAGATGGCAGAGAGAGAGAAAGGAGGGAGGCAGAGGGAGAGAGAGAATCTTAAGCAGGTTCTGAGTTGTGTGGGGCTGATCTTATAACCCTGAGATCATGACCTGAGCAAAATCAAGGGTTGGATGCTTAGCCAGCTGAGCCACGCAGGTGCCCCCCCTTTCTAATCAGTCAAGGTCAGCCTTTACTGGAATGACTGATTATAAAGGTGCAAGAGCAGAGGAGGATACAAAATATAGCTACTGTGTTTACTTTTATTGCAGAAGACATTAATCTCCTTAATATTGTAAATTTGCTGCTGTTTTAAAGTGCTGAAGATCTGCTTGCATGATCTTGAGAGAGGGTTTGGGCAAGCTCTTGATACAATTTTCTTAAGGATTTTGGAGTTTTTGGCTTTCCCCACCCCTTTTGAAAGAGAGATCACAAGCAGTGAGGAGGGGTAGAGGGAGAAGCAGGTCCCTGCTGAGCAAGGAGCCTGATGCAGGACGCCATCCCAGGACCCTGGGATCATGACTTGAGCCTAAGGCAGACACTTAACTGACTGAGCTACCCAGGCATCCCGAATTTTTGACTTTTATGTCTATCTATTTTACTTTTGTTTTTAATGTTAAGTGGAGTTGTTTCTGCCGTAAGTCAATTTAGAGTACTGTTCTGAAATCTAATTTTAGCTCACAGATCAGGAAAATAGTAGTTTAACAAAGGACTTTAAGGAGCACATATGGGAAAAAACTGTTCAGTCATTTTGTCATATTGCTTGAATTTAGCACCTGACAATAACTACTACCTTCTTGGAAGACATCTAAATTCCTGACATTGTACTTGGAACTTTGCATATAATTTCTAAAAATATATGGAACAGATGCCTAATTTAATTATTTTAGAAGAAAGGAATAGAATTATTGTTTAACTTGGTACCAGATATATAGTATCTAGTATATTCTAAAAATGTGTCTAAACTAGAAATGTGTAGGAAATGAAAGTACTACTCAGGCATTTTTACCAAAATTTATTTTAGCTGAAGTTGTATAGATATACTTGAGTAACTTAGAATTCTAGGTCTGGATAGTTACAATTCTAAGTTATGAGACTGAATTCTCATCAAAGGTTTATTGTGATATATGAGTATATATATATAAGATAATTTAGTATCTAATAATTTGGTGTATAGACTATATTTCATTATCATTTCTGCTTGTGCTGTATAAGGGAATTTGATGCCCCAGTTAAATATTTTTGGATACCTTGGTTTTTTGTTTGTGTTCTTAAGGGTTTTGTTTATTTATTAGAGATAGAGCACACAAGTAGGGTGAAGGGCAGAGGGAAAAGCAGACCCCTTGCTGAGCAGGGAGCCCAACCTAGGGCTTGATCCATGATGCTTAACTAACTGAGCCACCCAGATGCCCCACCTTGTTGTTGTTGTTGTCTTTTTTTAAGAGATCTTGAGTAGCACATTTTCAGTACAGTTAAAGTTAATTTTGCATTTTTCTGTCAGTCATCTCTGCATGTATTTACCATTCATCATAATCTGTGATGAAATTTGAAGTAAGGAAAATCGCTAAAATAATAAAACCAAAACAAAATATATTAAAGCATGAAAAACAACAGGAATAGTAAAATAGTTTGTTGATTTTTCCAGATTTCTTTTTCACTATTAAGCTATTTACTTGTTTTACGTTAGGAGGTATTTTCTATGCATGTGCCAATTCCATTATTTATTTTAGCTATTTAGTAGTGGCTTAGCTTCCTTAGCTTTTGGTCTATTTTAACAAATAATACTTGGAAAACTTGCTAATGTAAACTGTAGGTTTTGTAATTTAAGGCAAAGCATACTAGCAGAAAGAGAAACCCTTTTAAATGTCTCAAACCATTGACTCTGGAAATAGCCAGTCAGGGCCCACACTACACAAAAATGAGTTTAGAGCTCTGAAAGTGTTTATGTATATGTGTACTTTTTTTTTTTTAATTTTTTTTTCTTTTGAGATTTTATTTTGGGGGGATAGAGTGAATGAGTCAGGCGAGGGGCTGAGGGAGAAACTCAAGTGGACTTCCCTTAAGCCCCAATGTGGGGCTCAGTCCCACGACCCATGATATCATGACTTGAGCTGAAACAAAGAGTTGGATGCTCAGTCGCCAGCTACCAGGCATCCTGTGTATGTGTACTTTTAAAAAAAAAAAAATTTAAATCAGTGATCTAACTTGTTAATGATGGAAGGAGGAGAGGGGGCCAATAAGCATGAACCTCATTGTACTTTTTAAAGGATAAATCTTTCATTAGAGTTTGTTATTTAAAAAGATGCAAATTCAACTTTGACTTACAGCTGAGAAGGGAACATTAGAGTTCATAATCTCTTATTTCAGTGGCATTTTTCCAACTTTATGCTTTCTTGTTGAAGTTCATATTATACTCCATTTTGTAAAGAAAGTGTTTTTAACCAGACTGTTTTCTTTCCAACCAGACCGTTTTTAATAAAGATTTAAGATATACCATGTCACCACTGGCATAAGTGGAATTAATTATTTGGCTGTGTTCTTTAGGTTTGATAAAATTGAAGAAGAAAGGGTTCGTTTGATATGTGAACTATAGGTTTCCTTAGTCAGTGGAGTGTCCATAAAAAGGAGAATTAGTTATAGTATGAAAAGAACCTTGTTATAAGATCCCATTTTGTAGACCGTAAAATTTCCAAAAAAGGAAATGCTAATATAGTAATAGTATTCTTAAATTGCTTGATGAAATCTCTTAGGTTAACTGATAAAAAGTATCAAAATTTTATTAAAAACTACTTTTAATTTTTGTTTCTTTGAATTGCTAATGACTTTGTTTATGTTTATGCAATCATTTGCTGTAATTAGTTATAAATAAGATGAATTTATAGAATAGAAACTAATTCCCTCTGCAGAAAAACAAGGACAAATAAATTGAGTATTTACTGTGATTACAGTATGCCCCAGTGATGGGTGATTATGGAAAGTAGAAATACATAGCTATATGTAATAAATGCTGAATGAGCAGTAAGCTTGCTATGTATAAATAAATGTATGTATATAGAGTGAGATGGAGAAATGCAATCATATGCTTAATTAGAAATCTGGTTAAAAGTAGTTAAAACTGCGCAGGTACTTCGCTTCACATGCCCCTAAATTTCTCAACAGCTGATCAGAAATAATCTCTGCAAAAGTTCTATATAATAATGCAGAATAATTTGTTATTATGTTAAAAGTAATTTATTGGGCTTTTATTAAGATTTGTGTTAATGAGTGTGTAATTGTGAGTGGGAGGAATTGTGGCAATTTGTTCTAACTTGTCTTATAAACAAATTATGAAATTAAAAGAAAAATTTGTCCTTATACTGGCTAAAAATGCTTTGAGAAAATATTACCTAATGAATTTTACATAGTTATTCTTAACATCATTTGAAATGGTTTTTTTATAGTTTTTTGCAGCTTCTAATATTACCAATAACTGCATACTAGATATTGGTAGGATCAGTTCTGTAGATTTAGATTTAATAAGCATAATCATTGAAAGATTAAATACTCCTGGTATATATATACTATATATGTATAGTATATATATACCTGTGTATATATATATATATCTTGTCATATTTACTCTAGATTGGTTGCTGACTCACAACTTCATTAGCTTACTTTGATAATAAATTATGATATTCTGAATAAAGGTAAATTTTACTTTTGTAGTAGTATATATTGAGGAGAAGATGACTTGTGTCTTAGAGTAATTTTCAGTAGTATTAGTGATGACTGACCAATTTCATTACATCTGTTATGTTTCTTGTAGTAGGAACTTTTCAAAATTATTAATTAGCTTAGTTTTTAAATGTTTCTCTTAAATTTGCTCATGAATTTTAAATGTTTTTTTGACATGTTGAATTGTTTTGTATTACAATGACTTGTGTACTTTCTTCTTGTATCATCAGATTAAAATTTTTATTTCAAAGCATGTGTAAGATAATACTGAGAATTATTCCTTGTACTGTAACTGTTACAGCAAAATACTTATATAATAGTATAGCTATTCTGATTATGGCAGAGTTTGATGTTAACAGTAATAGAAATTTAAAGTATTGTTAGTCAATATAGAATAGTTATTTTATTTTAGAAGGATAGTAAATAAAAGGAGAGTTAAAATAAGAAATCATAGTCAAAGCTTGAAACTGGAAGGCATTTTGAACATCACATGGATTAACCTTTTACAGAAAGGAAGCTGACAGTTTTGGTTATAGAACCACCCTCTTCCTAGAACATTGTTGTTACTGGAGTAACTTGAGCAATTTAAGGCTTCATTTCAGTAAACTAGTAAACTGATAAATTGGATACCATTTACTTTTGAATACTTACATTAATTTTTATCAGGGACTAGAATACCTAGCACTTCTAAGCAAATACGATACAAAGCAAAAGGACTATAACATTTAAAAAATATTATAGTTCTAATTGTACCAAAGTGATAAGTAATTAATTTAAATAGACAAAGCACAAGGCTTCGGTGGCCCCCCTCCCATCCTGGAATAATGTATCTAGTGCATATTTGATTTGTAGAAGATTATGTTGCAGTTTATAAATAAGAAAATAAACATTTGTTTATTGATACTCAGTAATAGGATTTTTTGAGTGGAAGAAATAGGAGGGAAGTGGGAAAATAAAAAAATAATTATTTTAATATTGTAACTGTTAAGTGCTTACATTTCCCCCACAATATTGTCTTGTACTGTATGATTTTTCAGCATTTAAGAAGCGGTTTTGTTCTTTATAGCTGAACCAATAACGTTTCCATCTGGAGGAGGCAAGTCATTTATTATGGGTTCTGATGATGTTTTGTTAAGTGTACTGGGCCTTGGAGACCTTGCAGACTTGACGGTAACAAATGATGCAGACTATAGTTATGATGTAAGTGCAGTTTTATTTTTAATTTTTTAATGATTTAATAGAAGGCTCCTTATTTTTTTGGAAACACTTATAAAACAGAATTAATGTCAAGGTGCATGGAAAAGATAAGTTTAAGTGTGTCAGTATGTTGATTTGAAGTGACATGTAGTTTTTCTTTTGTAATTACTTTGTGGTGCTTAAATTTTTCTTAGGTATTGTGGTGGATTAGCTAGAAGTTTGGGATGATTGATTACCTTATAATATTGGTTGATAAATATCTATCCTGAGTAGTCAACTCTCAATTATTTACTCAAATTGAGCCATATTTTGGTGTCAACAAGAGAAAAATAGGTAACCTGAATCACTTGCCTTCAGGATACTTCTTAAAAATTGTTTTATTTTTGAACTTTTATTTTTGTAAGCATAATGTTAAAGTTAGCTTGCCATTTCCTGAATACTTAGTCCTTCATTTGAGGGATGGAGAGAGAATGGAGATTGGATGGGAAGGTAGTGTTCAGAGGTGAAAGTAGTCTTGGATTAAATTTTTTATAGACAATAAACACTCAATTGAGAGTTAACTATACTTGTTTAGATTTTGTATGAACAAATTTGCAGTTTTTCAGCAAATTTATTTTTTCCCTTTTATAGCATTTCTTTTTTCTCCATATTATATCTAGATGAGCATGCTTTTTAGAGACATCAGCCTTGGTGGGCTGGATTATTCTCATTAATATTTTCAAAGTATATAAGCAACTAAATTCTAGTAAACTTCTGACTACTTTAGAAGTGGTTTATCTTTACAGATGGAGAAGTGAAGGTAAAAAGATTAACCTCTTACCAATATCAACAATAATAATGAAAATAGGATGACGATATTCCTAAAGTGTCTTTAGTTCAGACTTTTGGAAAGTACCTTAATTTGCTTCCTTTAAAAATTTCACATGCTAATTTTCTAAATGACAACTGTATTGTTAATACTGTTCGCTTGGATTTTTGGTAGTGATTTATATAATTTTTATTTTTTTCATGTAAAGCATTGCAGCATGGTAGTTTTTTTGTTGTTCTCATCTGATGTTTAATAGGACTTTTGGCTTTAGCCTGATGATTAGGTAAAACAGATTAAGGAACTCTTCATTTGATCTACATATTTGAAAGCTAATTGAAGTTATTCTTCTTAGTATCATTTGTTAAATGATAAAGATTTGTTATAAAGTTTTTAAGGTACATTAAATTTCCACTGGACGTTTTAGCAAAGCAGTTTAATATATATATTTTACACACCAAAACACACAAAACTCCACTTGCCTATCAGTTTACAACTTTTACCACTAAATATTGCACTCTTTCTTTTTAGTTGCCTGCCAATAAAGATGCCTTTCGAAAGACATGGAACCCCAAGTATACACTACGTAGCCATTTCGATGGAGTACGGGCATTAGCTTTTCATCCTGTAGAACCTGTGCTGGTTACTGCCTCTGAGGACCATACTCTGAAACTTTGGAACTTGCAAAAAACAGTTCCTGCCAAAAAGCAAGTATTTTCACATTAGCCTGTCTTTTTTTCCTTCTAAATTTGCTAATAATTATAAGTAATTATCCTTCTATATGGTTCTCTTTTTTAAAGCTTTCATTTGATCTTACCTAATGATTCTTGAATGTCAACCAGTGATTTGAAGTTATTTAATTACCTTCTCCTCCCCCACCCTTGTACTTTCCTCTTTCAGGAGTGCCTCTTTAGATGTAGAGCCTATCTACACATTTAGGGCCCACATGTAAGTTTTATTGAATTTGTGCTTAAATTAACAACCATAGTTATTGTTCACTATTATTTATGAATCCTCAAAGCTTAAAATTTTCTTGCAGTTTTTTATAGTAGAAAAGACATTTGTTAAGTAGTATTTCATTTGATTGATTGTATTAGTGAGAATATAATCTGTACTGTTCAAATTTATGTTTTAAATTTTAAACAGTTTTTACATACTGCATGAGTTTAGAGGTTGGGGGGATACAGATATGTCTTCTTAGACTTTATAAGTAATTTTTTCCCTCTTTTCCTGTAATAGTGGTCCTGTTCTATCATTAGCTATTAGTTCTAATGGAGAACAGTGTTTTAGTGGTGGTATTGATGCAACCATCCAGTGGTGGAATATGCCTAGCCCTAATGTGGATCCATATGATACCTATGGTAAGTGAAAGGCTTAAAACATCTTTTTAAGTGAATGGAACTGACAAAATATTATTATAAATTGCTTAAGCAAGTATTAGTCTTCTCATTTAGTTTTCATTTACTATTAATTTGCTTTATTAAATAGGGAAAATTAAGCAGTATCATACCATGGAATATTTAAACCTGTGAATTGGTACTTTATTGTCCAAAAATTAAAAAAAAACTATATTAATTAAAACAATTAATTTTAGTGCTAGTTAACAAAAAGGAAAATAAAATGTAATGAACAATTTTTTAAACTTAAGAAATAGTTTATGTAGTTCAGAAATACTTAGCATGGGGCGCCTGGGTGGCTCAGTGGGTTAAAGCCTCTGCCTTCGGCTTGGGTCATGATCTCAGGGTTCTGGGATAGAGCCCCGCATCGGGCTCTCCGCTCAGCGGGGAGCCTGCTTCCTCCTCTCTCTCTGCCTGCCTCTCTGCCTACTTGTGATTTCTGTCAAATAAATAAATCTTTAAAAAAAAAACAAAACAGGGGGCGCCTGGGTGGCTCAGTGGATTAAAGCCTCTGCCTTCGGCTCAGGTCATGATCCCAGGGTCCTGTGATCGAGCCCCGCATCGGGCTCTCTGCTCGGCAGGGAGCCTGCTTCCTCCTCTCTCTCTCTCTCTGCCTGCCTCTCTGCCTACCTGTGATCTCTATCTGTCAAGTAAAATAAATAAAATCTTTAAAAAAAAAAAAAAAAACAAAACAAAACAAAAATACTTAGCAGAAGAAAGTAGAAACAAATAGTGGCGCTGTGTAAATCAGTACATTTTAGAGGACAAAAAATTTCTTAATTAAGAAAACCCTTTTACTCACAAATGATACTTTTAAAATCTGTCCCACAGAAATACCTATATCTGTATTCAAATGTATTTATAAGGGCATGTTTGTAATTATAAGAAATTAAAACAAAAAGAATATTTATTAATATGAGAAGGTTGAATGAACAGTGATCTACTTAATAGTTGGTGCATTTAAAAAAATTTCAGGAGTGGGACACCTGGGTGGCTCAGTCAGTTAAGTATCTGCTTTCCGCTCAGGTCATGATCCCAGTGTTCTGGTATTGAGTCCCGCATTGGGCTCCTTGCTTAGTGGGAAGCTGCTTCTCCCCTTGCTTGTGCTCTCTCTCAGTCTCTCTCTCTCTTTCTCTCTCTGATTGATAAATAAATGAATAAATAACTTTAAAAAAAATGTACTCTAACATTGTTAGACATCAAAAATAAATAAATAAATAAATAAATAAATAAATAAATAAATAAAATCCAGGATCTCTTTGTTCTTTTTATTTAACACACACTTGGTGCTTAAATTTGCCAGGTATGGTGTTAAGCACTATATCAAGAAATAAGAGTTAGTCTAGTGAAAGGACAGACATCAAACAAACAAAGGCATCCAGTTTATGGCTAGAAATTTTAATAAGCAGTATGAAGATATAGAAATACTATGGAAGATAATATTCTTTAGATATAGTCCAAAATAGTGACATTTACGTCACAATCGAAAGGATAAAAGGAAACTTTTAGTGGGCATTTGGGTGGCTCAGTCAGTTGAGCATCCAACTCTTGGTTTTTGGCTCAGATAATGATCCTCAGGGTCATGGGATTGAGCCCTGTGAGATGCCCCACACTTGGCATAAAGTCTGCTTGAGATAAAATAAATAAAATCTTTTTCTTTTTTTTTTTTCCTAAAGGAAACTTTCAGTAAAGAGTCTTTAATCCAGAAAGTGACCCATAAATCTAGGGTTTATTATTTTTTTAAAAGATTTTGTTTATTTATTTGACAGAGCGAGATCACAAGTAGGCAGAGAGGCAAGAAGAGAGAGAGAGGGAAGCAGGCTCCCTGCTGAGCAGAGAGCCTGATGCGGGGCTTGATCCCATGACCCTGAGATCATGACCCAAGCCGAAGGCAGAGGCTTAAGCCACTGAGCCACCCAGGGGCCCCTAAATATAGGGTTTAAAAAGGTGACCCTGGCTATTTTAAGGAGAATAGATTAGGGGTGGGAGAAGTAGAGGAAAGAATACCAATTAATGTTGTAAAGTTATAATGTAGTAGTCCAGTAGACTAGTTGAGAGTTATGTTTCTCCATGGTCGTAATGATGGTAAATCACTTCATAGCGGACCTGGGGAAGTAGGGTGGAATAGGAAGAATCTACTGATAAATTGGATTGAGTGGATAAAGTGATGGATAAGTGATTCTTGATTTTGTTACTTTTTAAAACAGCTTTATTGAAATACAATTAACATGCTAAAATTCATCTTTTTTATGTATACAGTTTTTACTATATAGGTAGTATGTATATAGTTTTTACTATATTCACAGGGTTGTACATCCATTACCACTATCTAATTCAGAACATTTTTATCACTACTGCCCTTTTTTTTTTTTACATGAACAATTGAGTATATTAAGAACAGGTGTGAGAAGATTAAAGATGGTGAGTTTTTAGGCATATTAAGAGATGGCAGTATCAAGTAGCTAATATTAAGATATGAGAATAGATTGTATAACATAGGGAACAATGTACTGTTTAGGGCATAAAGAGAAGACAAAATCCTGAACAACTCTGATACTGGGAGGGTGACTAGAGCAGGAAAGCCAACAAAGGAAACTGAGAAGGAGTGGCCTTTGAGGAAGGAGGAAGTGAAGGAAAATGTGGGGTGGGATCATGGAAGTATACCAAAATAAAAAACCATTTTGAAAAGAAGGAAGCAGTCTGCCCTTTCATATGTTGCTGAGAAGTCCAATAATAGGAAGATAGAAAGGTTCCTTTTTTTATGTGACAAATAGGTCACCCAGGTCTTAGCCAGAGTTTGGATGCTGGGACAAAGACCAGAGGGTGAAGGTACCTGTGGGCAACTTTTTAAGGCACACTCTGGATGAAAAGCAGTGTGATAAAAATAACCAAGAAAATAATCTTCAAAGGAAGAAAAATTTCATTAAACTTGATAAAAGAGAGTTCATCATTGGTGATTTCAGTAAGGGCTATTTTGGTGTAATGGTGGTATCAGAAAGCATATTACACTGATTAAGAGTGAATGAGAGGTAAAAAAGCATTTTATTCAATATGTTCTTCTGCCGTCTGTTGGAAGGATGATAGAAGGTTAATGAAGGTTTTTGTTTAAGTCAGGAGATTCTGGAGCATCTTTGTTTGCTGTGGTAATGATCCTAAGGAGAAGGAGAATTATTGTGTAGTACGGAAACTGTAAACATGAAAGAAGTTAGTGAGTTGAATGGAATCCAAAATTTACCTGGTAGAATTAGCCTTTGAGAAGAAGGTGGACAGTTCTTTACTCCTATCTGAAAGCAAGGAGAAGGTGGCTTTAGAAACTAGTAGATTGGATAGAGAAAAGATAAGGGGAGGGGTTCTTATTTCAGTGCTGTAGTTTCTCAATAAAGTCGATAGAGATAATCATTCATGTGGAAGGAAGTTTGGAAACTGAAAATTCCGGAGATGATAAGAAACAGCTGTGGAATGTGGGAGTTTGCTAAAGAAATAGGATTATAGGCTAGATGGTACACAATGTTATTATTAGCCACCATGTCCATCAAATGATAAATGGGTAAATAAAACATAGTATATCCATACAATGGATATTATACAATAAAAAGAAGTCAAGTACTGAGGCATGCTACATCATGGACAAACCCTGGAAACATTTTGCTAAGTGCAAGAAGCCCATCACAAAAGACCCTTTGTATGAAATGTCCTGAACAGACAAACTTAAAGAAACAGAGTAGATTAGTGGTTTTGTAGTGCTGCAGAAAAGCAGGAAGGAAGAATTGGGCAGTGGGGGGTGGGAATGGTTAATGAGTGATGAAAATGTCCTAAAATTGATGTGCTGATGATTGTGTAACTCTGTGAACATAATAAAAGCCATTGTATTTGGGTGCCTGGGTGGCTCAGTCGTTAAGTGTCTGCCTTCAGCTCAGCTCATGATCCCAGCATGATCCAAGGATCGGGGGATTGAGCTCCGCTTTGGGCTCCCAGCTCAATGGGAAGCCTGCTTCTCCCTCTTCCGCTCCCCCTGGTTGTATTCCCTCTTACTGTCTCACTCTCTCTCTCTGTCAAATAAATAATAAAATAATACACAGACAAAAGGTTGATATCCAGGATCTATAAAGAACTTCTCAAACTCAACACACACAAAACAGATAATCATATCAAAAAATGGGCGGAAGATATGAACAGACACTTCTGCAATGAAGACATACAAATGGCTATCAGACACATGAAAAAATGTTCATCATCACTAGCCATCAGGGAGATTCAAATTAAAACCACATTGAGATACCACCTCACACCAGTTAGAATGGCCAAAATTAGCAAGACAGGAAACAACATGTGTTGGAGAGGATGTGGAGAAAGGGGAACCCTCTTACACGGTTGGTGGGAATGCAAGTTGGTGCAGCCACTTTGGAGAACAGTGTGGAGATTCCTCAAGAAATTAAAAATAGAGCTTCCCTATGGTCCTGCAATTGCACTACTGGGTATTTACCCCAAAGATACAGTTGTAGTGAAAAGAAGGGCCATCTGTACCCCACTGTTTATAGCAGCAATGGCCACGGTCGCCAAACTGTGGAAAGAACCAAGATGCCCTTCAACGGACGAATGAATAAGGAAGATGTGGTCCATATACACTATGGAGTATTATGCCTCCATCAGAAAGGATGAATACCCAACTTTTGTAGCAACATGGACAGGACTGGAAGAGATTATGCTGAGTGAAATAAGTCAAGCAGAGAGAGTCAATTATATGGTTTCACTTATTTGTGGAGCATAACAAATAACATGGAGGACATGGGGAGATGGAGAGGAGAAGGGAATTGAGGGAAATTGGAAGGGGAGGTGAACCATGAGAGACTATGGACTCTGAAAAACAACCTGAGGGTTTTGAAGGGGGAGGGGGTGGGAGGTTGGGGGAGCCAGGTGGTGGGTATTAGGCAGGGCACGTATTGCATGGAGCACTGGGTGTGGTGCAAAAACAATGAATACTGTTACGCTGAAAAGAAATTAAAAGAAAAAGAACTTACAGTAAAACACTAAGGTCAAAATCACTGTGGGGAAGTAAAAATGATAGTGTGTAAGTAAAAAATAAAAAATAAAAAAATAAAATAATAAAATTTTTTAAAAAACCATTGTATTATACACATTTTTTTTGGTTAAAGATTTTCTTTATTTGAGAAAGAGAGAGTGAGTGGGAAGGGGAGGGGCCAAGGGAGAGGGACCAGCAGACGCCCTCTTTGTGTGGAGCCTGACAAGGGGCTCCACTCCAGGACCCTGAGATGATGACCTGAGCCAAAGCCAGACACTTGATCAACCACCCAGGCACCCCCTTGAATTGTATACTTTAAATTGGTGAATTATATGGTATGGGAATTCTGTGTCATTAAAGCTGTTTTATAGAAAGTGTAATGTTCTTTATAGAAAATTCTAAGAATACAGGAAAGTATTGTGGGGAAGGTAAAAAAATAACCCATAATTCTACAACTTAGAGATGGCCAATGTGTACATTTTGGTTATCTTCTTAGGGCTATTATACATGGTCTTTATACTTAATTATGTGATGTTATATTTATCCAAAACATTTCTTTCTAACTTCTTTTAGCTAATTTTTGTTTGTTTGTTGTTTTTTCCCAGAGCCAAATGTTCTAGCTGGCACTTTAGTTGCACATACAGATGCTGTCTGGGGTCTTGCTTATAGTGGCATAAAAAATCAATTACTGTCTTGTTCAGCAGATGGCACTGTTAGGTTATGGAATCCACAAGAAAAATTGCCATGTATTTGCACTTACAATGGAGACAAGGGTAAGTAAATTTTGCCCTATAAAAAAAGCTGTTGTTTTTTTTTTTTTTTAACTTGGAAATAGAAATGACAAAGCAAATGATTTACTATTCTTCTGTTACTCTAAGAGAGATAATGAAATAATTTTATAAAGCTTGTGATGATCTTTGTACTCCTAGTCATTTTTTATAAACAAGAAAGGAGTTTTGCAAGTATATTCTATAGCTTGGTGCTTTTTGACCTTTTCCAGGACATGTCCTATTTAAAAAATAAAGGTCTTTGAAATAGTGAAGTAGACAAATGAGGCTGTTCATAGGAACAACATGAGGGCCTCCACTTCCTGTAGTTGCCTGCCCAGAAAGACTGAAGGGATCACAGTCTTAAGCATACCTAATATGTAAGAGCACACTGATGAGAAGTATCATAATCATTGAATTAGCACCCTTAAGTGGGAAGTACAGAGTGAATAACAGGTAGAATTTCAGGTGTTTTCCTATCAAAGAAAGCTGTAAGCAATTTGCTTTTTGATACCATTTATTTATATACTTGTGTACTGGTATTAGTCATGTTTTCAAGACATTTTTAAGTTATTTTAAAAATCAGACCTTTTATTTTTATTAAAAACTGTTTTCTCTTAAAGCATTTTAGATAAATAGTATACACTTATTTTGTAGGGTCTCTTAGATACCTTAGTGATTCTACTAATTTTTCAATTACCCAGACTTTTGAGGTAAACATTTATTTAGACATTTATTGCTTACTTCATCTAATTTATTGCTTGACACTCTGGATTTTACCTAGTTGTGCATTAATCTGGCCATTTGAATATTAAAGACAGAAATTGCTGCTCAGGACATGGTAGGATGGTACTGCATCAGTGAATTCCAGATCCAGGCTTTATTTTCACAGATCGAAAATTCCAACTTGTGTGAGCTACTTGATAAGGCTTATAGGTCTCAAACAGGTGCAATCTCCCAAGATAGTGATGTGAGAATGCTAATTTATCATTTTACATTAAAAAAATGAAATAACTTCTGTACATATCTTCTCATAACTTTGAGCCCTCTAATTGTAGTTTTCTTACACTGTTAGAGTGTTATAACAACTAAAAATAATTGAGGGAAAGTTACCTGTTATATCTCACTATCCTAATGTAATTGTTCTCTTTTTCATTATTGACATTATTTCAGCAATACTTGAATTCCTTTTTCTTATTAGTAAAGCAGGGATTTCTAAATTGTTTTTACATTGGATCTCTTTGGGCTTCTTTTCAGAGCATGGAATACCTACATCGGTTGACTTTATAGGCTGTGATCCAGCTCATATGGTGACCTCTTTCAACACTGGTAGTACAATAATTTATGATTTAGAAACATCACAGTCATTGGTGATGCTTTCATCACAGATAGATTCTGGTAAGTTTTCATAGGTTTCTTTGAAACCTTAAAAAAGATTATTACAGGAGTGCCTGGGTGGCTCAGTGGTTTAAAGCCTCTGCCTTTGGCTCAGGTCATGATTCCAGGGTTCTGGGATCCAGCCCCACATCAGGCTCTCTGCTCAGCAGGGAGCCTGCTTCCCCCTCTCTCTCTGCCTGCCTCTCTGCCTACTTGTGATCTCTGTCTGTCAAATAAATCAATAAAATCTTTTAAAAAAAGGATTATTAGACAATAGAAGGTATCTTTAAGTTTTATATTTTGACTGTTTGAATTTATGATGAAAAAGTTTTAGTACATTAATATAGTATATATATATATTAATAATATACAAAATTAGGTATATTTATTTTCATTGTTTTTACAATTTTCTCAAATTATGCTTAAAAGCTTGGAGAAACATTTAGGGGACAGAGAACGTAAGAGTATTTTAAGTGTGAAAGCATGGGAAATAATTCTAAAGTTTTAATGGAAATACATATGAAAGTAGAGAAAATAATATAAGCCTGAGGAAAGCATCATCCATCTCTATTAATTATGTATGAATGGCCAGTGTTGCTATTGTAGGCTGTGATTTGTGCTTTACAGTTTATTTAAATAGGGTTCCAAATAAGGCCTATGCATTGTAATTGATTGATAATGTGTCTCAGGTATCTTCTCATCTGTAGGTTCCCCCTCCATCTCTTCTTTTTCCCTTGAATTTTTTGATTGAAGAAATTAAATCATTTATCCATCATTTATCAGTCACTTATCAAATTGAATCATTTATCAACCTGTAGTCTCCACAGTGTGGATTTTGCTGGTATCATCCTTGTGGTATCATTTAATGTGCTCTCTCTTTTCATTTTATTTCCTATAAATAGAGGAGGCTTACTCAAATTCAGGTTTAATATTTTTATTTGTCTTCATTATAAAGTTTTTCTGCGTTTTTGGCAAGACTATAGTAATTTGTGAGCTTTTATCAGAAGTAAATATTGTCTGGTTGTTTATCTTTTTCTTACGTTTTCAGTCTTGATGATCATTGCCTAGGTCCATTAATGCATTAATTCTGTTGAAGAATGATTTTTCTAATTCTTTCCTTCCTTCTTCACTTATTATCTAGAATATTTCTGTAAAAAAAGAATACCCCTCATCAATAATTTGATTAATCTGGAGTTAGTGATTATAAGTGAAAGGGAAGATCAGTTATTGATCCCTTCCCCACTTTATCAGTTTTCAAAATAATGAGGTGGTTTCCTAGCATTACCCGAAGGTGACTTTTGAGTCTTTGGGGTGTTTTTATTACCATTATAATCTCTAGTAAATGTATCTGATGTGTTTCAGTCTGTTGCGGTTATTACCTTTATCACTCCTCAGATTGTTTCATCTTTAGCCAGTGGGAGCTTATTCAGGTTTTGCTCTTGAGTCCTTTTGACATGACTCTGTTAATCTATGATAACTTTCTTACTTTCTGATATGGCAAGATGTTTTATGTTCATCTTGTTCATTTTGTGCCCCAGACTGAAATCATGCATTTCCCTAAGGAGCCATGGTTTCTTTTAGTGGAAAATGGCATTTAGAGACTATAATATAGGTATAGGGCTTTTGGGTTGGTGCCCATAGATTTTATGGCTCTTGAATTGCTTGTTGGTTTGGGCTTCTTCAGTGGACAGAGCTAGAAATGCATTTTTAAAAAGTAAAAAGAACGATAAATTCATACAAATACTTCCCATTCAAATTGAGATTTATCTTTTTGCTTTTTATCTCATCTTAATCATGCTCAAACTCTTGGTTGTCAGCAAAATCATCATCATCATCATCTCTTTTTTTATTTATTCCACAATATAGGTAGAGTCATCTCAAAATAATAAAAATGACACCACCACCAATAGTTTGGTTACCGATAATAGTTTCATATGAATGGTGTATTCCATTTGGGATGGGACATCTAATTATTCTGCTTTCAAGTCACTTGAAGTGGTTCATTTCTTTGTGTTTATACCTCAGTTGGACATGCAGTTACACTCATTTGTTTAATTTTACTTTTCCTTTTGTGTGTGTGTGTGTGTGTGTGTGTGTGTGTGAGTGCCTTTAAAAATCATTTTATAATTATTTAAACCATTTAAATAGCTTCATGGTCAAATCAAATCTCAAACAAAATTAGTCAAAGAAATGTCTTTCCTGGCATCTTTTCAACTCTAGTCCCTTTCTCCCTTTCACACAGGTAATGTGTCTAAGTTAAGTGTCCTTGTATGTGTGTGGAATGACTGATGTAGTTAAAATCTAATAAATGTTGATGATATTTTTCCATTAGTTTTGATCCCTTTAGTTTCTTCCTCATCTCTAATAAGAAGTTAAGAACTTGGTAGCAGAGAAAGGTTTCATTCCTAAGAACATTAATTCCTGTTCTTTGTGTTTTTTTGTGAGTGTGGGTAGGATGGGGGTTGTTCCTTGCAAACATCTAATTTTCACTTGCAAGCAAATTTGTTCATTAAATGCTTGTAATTCATTTATGGACTGTTTGTTTAAAATAATAATTACTGTGGCGCTCTTAAAATTCTAAACCACCTATACTGATAGTCTACATTAAAATATTCCTAATTTTTCCTTGAGTTTAGTGCTGTCCATATTATAGAACATGATAGCTTACACTAACATTTTTAAAGAAACTGTATCTCTCGGGACGCCTGGGTGGCTGAGTGGGTTAAAGCCTCTGCCTTTGGCTCAGGTCATGATTCCAGGGTCCTGGGATCGAGCCCCACATTGGGCTCTCTGCTCAGCAGGGAGCTTGCCTCCCCCCCTCTCTCTGCCTACCTCTCTGCCTACTTGTGATCTCTGTCAAATAGATAAATAAAATCTTAAAAAAAAAAAAAAAAACTATCTCTCCAGAGCTCTAGTTTTAGTTTTCAGATTTTTCTTTTATACAAATGCTTTAATTTCTTAATGATTCCTGTTTGTTGATAAGCTTAAAAAGGCTATCCGCCAGGGTTGCCTGGGTGGCTCAGTCTGTTAAGCATCTGCCTTCAGCTCGGGTCATGATCCCAGGATCCCGGGATCAAGCCCCATGTTGGGTTTCCTGCTCAGTGGGACTCAGTGAGGAGTCTTCTTCCTCGTTCTTCTTCTCCCTTTGCCCTTCTTCTCCTGCTCGTGTTCTCTCTCTCTCAAATAAAATCTTAAAAAGAAAAAAAAGAGCTATTATCCAAATTTTAATCGAAAGCTTGAACTTTAGTGCATTTTCTTCCTTTATTTTTCAGGTTTACAATCCAGTAATCACATTAACAGAGTAGTAAGTCATCCCACACTTCCTGTTACAATAACTGCTCATGAAGATAGACACATCAAATTTTTTGACAATAAAACGGGTAAGTAGGTTGTCGTATATTCTTCTTAGTCTTAGTAAATTTGAGATGATCAAAAATGCTATTCTTTTTATGTAAGACATACTGACTTTTTGCCTAAAAAATTGCCAAGTTGAACTATTTCAACTCAGATTTTTGCTTTACTTAATGTAGTACACTTACATGTTAAGTTCTGTCCTTAAGTCAATATAATACTTTGCCTACCAATTATGTTTTTCTCCATGTCATGTTAAATATAAACCCATCCATTTGAAATTTCTTCTTCATATTCTGTTGTGAAAGGTCTCTTTCTAGGGTTTAGTATTTCAGATACGCTCTTAGAATTATTCCTCAGGAGATGAAATGTGAAATAGTGAAATAGGAGATGAAATAGTGGAAATTGTTAATTGTTATTTTCCCTCTATTTCTTATTGTGAGGAAACTTACCAGTTATATAGAAGTCAAATTAAATTTTAATTTGGCCTTAGGGTTGTTTTTTCTTGATGACCTCTGTTTCATCTTTCCTTAGAATACCACATAAAATACTATTGGTGCTCAGTTAGGCTCTTTTGAGAAGCTAAAACCAGGGGTATTGAAGGATTTCCAAGTAAGAAACCTAAAAGTTAATTGCAGCATTATTGCAGGGCAACAGATTATCAAGCAAGACAGCAAATCAGAACTACAGATTTCTCTTTGATACCTCGTTCATTCAAGAAGGCTCCACGCCAAACGTGAGCTTTAAACTCATGACCCTAAGATCAAGAGTCAGATGCTCTATTGACTGAGCCAGCCAGGTGCCCCTCTACAGATTTCTCTTTGAAGGTTATGTAGGATGTGGTTATAATTATTAATCTTTAGAGTCTTAAACTAAATCCCCATGTTCAGGTAACACTCTAATGGGCAGATTCCTTTTAACTCAGTAGAAGTTGAGAAGAGAATGGATATTTACAGTCTGTGTCTCAAAGGAAAGAAGATTCATATTTGTATGGAAATTCTCAGTTTAGCACCTTCTCAAAACAATTCTATGAACATTTTTATGAAGCCTCATTGTCTTCCTTTGCTGCAAGCACAGAGATAATTTCCTTTGTATTTCTGAAAAGATATTTTAGATTAACTATTGGAGATTTACATTTAGGTTTGTAAAGGGAGGGTCAGGAATTTTAGTAGTTGTATTAACAGCAAAGTGTGAGTCTCTAGAGCTGTTTTATTGGCAGAAATCAAGAAAATGGTAATAAAATTTTATTTAATAACAACTAGCATATATATGTATAACTTTTATGTTATACATGTAAGTATAACAGTCTTTCAGATTGTTTAAAAATTCTACCAATTTATTCTTTCTGTTAATTAGTCTAGTTACCTTCTCTGTAATGTAAAGACAAAGCAATAGGCTCCTAACAATAGCAACAGTCTTTCTAAATCCATCTCACTTCCCACTCAGGTACATACACATAACAACATTGAGTTAAATTAAACTGTAAATTGTGGTCCAGTATACTGTTTCCAAAGAAACTTTTCCCTGAAAATTGGTAATTCATTTAAATGTGATAAACTAGAATATTTTCATAGCTGGTCTAGTGTTAACAGCTAAGTTTTTAATAGAGTATTATTTTGTCAAGTGACTGTTGTATTTATTGAATTTTTTAATTGAAACATTGATACTGTGGATGAATTCAATGAATTCTTAGATTTTAACAAAAAGAATATATTTAGCTTTTGTATTCTGCATGGCACTGGCTGCTATCATGTATAAGATGTGGTTTCTCTTCTCTGGGAGCTTATCATTGTTTTGGGAAAATAGGACACGTGTCTCTGTATGTGTGCATGTGCACTCATGTGCAGTAAGATGAGTCATGCTAGATAAAGGAGTCTTCATAGTGAGGGTTTGATCTTTTCCTTGAAGAAATGGTAAGTTTTATTGTTTGTGTGTATGTGTTTGTTTTTAAGTGAAGAAGGTAGTGGGAAACTCCAGTGGGCCTATTTTGAGCAGAGGCAGCATGGTGGTAGGAACGTGGGCTGGAACAAAAGTATCTTATAGGTAAAGCTAAAGAGGTAAGTTTGAAGAAGGGAAACAGAAACCATTGAGGAGAACTTCTCAGCACCAGGCTAAGAATAATGGATTTTTGTTTATGCTGTATACTGTGAAAACCACTTAAGATATTTGAGCAGGGGTTTGTAAAATTGGTTTAAAAAGATTCTTTATATTGTATTACCTGGTAGATCTTTGACTTTAAAGAATTTGTAATTTCAGTTTCTACTGTTTGTTCTGGAGAGATATTAAGGGCTCATGATTTTTTAAAATTTTGGTAGAGGTACAAATTTGAGTTGCATATACCGTGCCTGAGAAACTTTGCTAGTGATGGTGAGTTTGGAAAAAGGTGTACAAGTGAGGAATATGGAAGAGTTGGAGACGGAAGATCCTGAATTTGTTGTGGACTCATTCATTTGGCACACTTTATTGTCTGCCATATCCCTGACATAGTTTTCAAATTGTTAGGTTCAGTGTCCTGAATAGAACAGACAAAATGTCTGGTCCTCTTATGTCTGGTCTACATTTTTTAAAAAAATATCTATTTTGTCTCCATTTCATAGAGTCTCACAATATTGATTACCCAAGTCAGAGGGCTTAAGGTGCCAGAGAGGCGAGAAGAGACTGCATGTATTCTCTGTTTCCCTCCGTTATAGGAGGCGTTAACTTTCGTCAGTGAAAAGAGGTAGTAGCAGAGACATGGGGCAAAAGTGAAATTGGTTAAATGGGAGAAGCCACAAGTATATGTTGTTAAAGACAGAGTCCTAACTCTCGGGAAGTGTCAGAAGTTTTGTGACTTCTGTGGTCACCAGTGGAAGCCCAGCATCCGACTTAGTTCAGCATTCTTCTTCTTTATTCCTGTGTAGTCTGAAGGAGTCATTTAAATTTTAAAGTGACCCTCTGACTGTGTGGAGAGGAAGGGTTGACTCTCAATTGACTTAGCATATCATAGGGTTAATTTAGTGCACAGACAGGAGAACTGGAGGCAAACTGGGCAAACTATAGTAAGTACCCTTGAAGAAGTGAGTAAATCTGCTTTTTGGATGAAAGAATTCTTTGGTTTAAGACATGTTACATGCATCCTGCATCTCCTGAGATGCAGGATCATTCTCAGGAGAGAAGTTGGAACTAGATTTGTGAATTAAGAGTTACCATCATAAATAATGACATTTTAAAGGAAGCTAATGATGCTTGGTATTTAACCTCTGATGATTTGAGATTATTGTCCTGGTGACCAACTATTTCATGCTTGGTTTTTTTTATAGGAATGTTGGGAGGAATGGATTCTAGATTTTTTTTTTTTTTTAAGATTTTATTTATTTACTTGACAGAGATCACAAGTAGGCAGAGAGGCAGGCAGAGAGAGAGAGGGAAGCAGGCTCCCTGCTGAGCAGAGAGCCCGATGTGGGGCTAGATCCCAGGACCCTGGGACCATGACCAGAGCTGAAGGCAGAGGCTTTAACCCACTGAGCCACCCAGGCGCCCCGGATTCTAGATTTCTTATGAGTTATATTAGACTACGCATTTAAAGATAGTATGTTGAATGATTCTTTTGTTCTTCAAGGTAGCAAAGAAGAATCTCTAAAATTATTCTGTTAGTATTAGTGAGAAACAGACAAATGTGGTTTGAAATGATGAGAGACTAATTTTGTACTTAACTGATGACCTTAGTATTGCCAGAAAGTGATAGGATCTTTTATGTTTTCAGAGTAACTTTTGCACATTTGATTATGTTGTGGTTTTATATGCAGGCTAGGAGCTGTAGCAAACAATGAAAGTAGATCTAGTTCATGTCCCATTGTGGAATGTCATCAGGGGACCAAAAACATGGCACATGATTCTAACTAGAATTCTGAAGAAGGCCTCTCATTAGGAGCAACACAGACATTTGAGTAATAAAGACTCATTGCTGAATGAAAGGGGAGGTAATTTTAGAAATACCAGTATTCGCTACTTTATTCCCTTCTTGGATGAATCAGTTTATGATACTGCTTTCCATCCACCAAAGGTATATATTGCCAGTGCAGAGGCCAATCCTCTTGTCCCCGAGATATTTATGCAACATAACTTTGTACTTATAACTTGTTTTTTAATTTTAACTTACCATTAAATCCCATTTTCAAGAATATTGTTTTTGCTACTGTCTGGGGAAATCCAGAATAATTTCTCTAATATACTCTCACCCTCCCCCCTTTCTTATTTCTGATGTATAAAATGATTGACATTTCAAAGGATAAATGAATCTGATAATAGAATCTTTAGTTAGGAATATATCCTCCAGTGATTTATTTATTAGTAACCCTGTATAGGAAATAACCTTTACGTCTCTTAATGAGAGAGATTTTCTTCTGTATTTAGTTTAATTCCACTTTATATGATCTTGAGCCTTTGATGCAACCATATAGTCATTATGTTTTCCACGGCCTGCCAGATACTGTCAGATTCTGTCATACAGATGTCTTTTTTAGGAATAACTAGGAAAGTTCTGCAGTAGATTTCAAATTCTCTTTAAAAAAATTATTACAGGTATACCTCTGTGGGTTCAGTTTCACACCACTGCAGTAAAGCTCATTGTCATTAAAGTATGTCAAATGAATTTTGATTTCCCAGTGTATGTAAAAGTCGTGTTTATACCATACTGTTGTCTACTGAGTGTGCAATAGCATTGTGTCTAAAAAACCAAATGTATGTACCTTAATTAAAGAATATTTATTGCAAAAAAATTGCTAACCGTTGCTTAGCTTTCACCAAGTTGGAGGCACTCATCACAGATCACCGTGACAAATACAATAATAATGAAAAGGTTTTCAATATTGAAGAATTATCAAAATGTGATGGAGACACAAAGTGAGCAAATGCTGTTGGAAAATGGTGCCAATAGATTTGTTCAACACAGGGTTGCCACAGATCTTCATTTTGTAAGCAAAAAACAAAAAAACAAAAAACCTGCAGTATCTTTGAAGCACAATAAAGTGTAAGGTATACCTGTGGTACTGGGTGAACCTTGAAAACTTTAAGTGACAGAAGGCAGACACAAAAAGCCACATGATATTGTATGATTTCAACTGTATGAAGCATCCAGAATAGGCCAAATCATAGTGAGAAAAAGCAGATTAGTGGTAACCAGGGACTTGGGGGAAGGGAGATATAGGGAGTGATTGCTTAATGGGTACGGGTTTCCTTTTGCAGTGATGAAAATGTTCTGAACTGGATAATGGTGATGGTCGCATATCATTGCGAATGTTCTAAAAGCCACTGAATGATACCTTCCCAAATGGTTAAAATGGTAAATTTTATGTTACATGTATTTTACCACAGTAAAAAATATATTGCTATAGTGATTGTCTATTTTATGTTGATGCTATATTATGGTTTCTGATCTCGCAAGTTAGTAACTCTTTGTGAAAATTTTATCATCTGTGTTATGTTTTATTTAGGTAAAATGATCCATTCTATGGTAGCTCATTTGGATGCTGTTACAAGTCTAGCAGTAGATCCTAATGGAATCTACCTGATGTCTGGAAGTAAGTCTGAACTTCCTGTACTGCCACAAGCTTTATAAAAGAATTGTTACTCAATAATGTACTTTATTTGTTCTTTTATTATAGGCCATGACTGTTCTATTAGATTGTGGAATTTGGACAGCAAGACATGTGTGCAAGAAATAACAGCACATAGGAAGAAATTAGATGAATCGATTTATGACGTTGCTTTCCATCCATCAAAAGCATATATTGCCAGTGCAGGGGCTGATGCCCTTGCCAAAGTATTTGTGTGAATCAACAAAAACTCACATCTTAACAACAAATTTGCTTGGACAAAAAGAGGGTCTGCATCACTGCCATCTGAAAGGTTACTGATATGACACTACATGTGATCTGCTTGCTGAAAACTATTCAAGGCAGGCATAAATTGATGGAAATCACATCTTAATGTCAGGCTCATTAATTTAACTGTAATTACTGTATCTTGTGGGACAAATAAAAAGGACTCCATTATTTGTGGCCTGTACTGGATATGAACTGAGCGTATGTCTGTTTTTTAGGTATCTTTAAGCCAATGTGGAGTCTGATCTTACAAAAGACTTTTATTTTGGACTCTGTGTGCTGCCTTAGGGTTAGGAATGTGGTGCTCTTGTTGGGGGGGGAAGTGAGCTCCAAGAGTAGCTTTTTTTCATCTCTTAGTGATTTTTCTGTTTATCAGTTGAATGCCACAGATTCCCTTTTAAACTTATTTTGCTTTAAAAAAAAAAAAAAGAAATAAAATTTAACTTAAAATATTTTAGCATTAGTTGCACAAAATGTTTGGATAAAATTCTAGTTTTTATAAGTCTTTTTATATATTTAGCCTGTCACAACAGTGCTCAAGATTGTATTGAAGTTTTTCTGCATTATACAACCCTAAAACACAGAGATCTCACTGACCCGCTGCCGTGTAACCACACTTTTTCCTTCTTTTGCCTAATACAGCTCAGCTAAGTCCTTCCATAAAGATGCTAAATCACCTTCATCATCACATAATTGTCTTCATATACCAAGGACTATTAAGTGTATTAAAATGAAACAGTGGGGTTTAATACTCCAAATGAACTCTTTAAAAAGAAAAAAAAAAAAACTAATCTTGGCATCCTATCACTATGTGATATTTTGTACATCTTACTGTATTTACAAGTTTATTTATCAAGGATTATCCATCTTGCTAATAGCCTATTATTTATTTCACTTTTTGTTGATCTTTATATCCTTTTATTAATGTGCTAAAGGAACCTGTATATCTATTTTGGAACTCTTTGAATAGTCTAAAATAGACTAAAAATTGAATATTTTATAGTTTAAGTTACAAACCAAGGTGATTTCCCCCATATGCATATCTTGGTTTACCATGATTCCAAACAAAAACTATCTTGTTTAAAAATATTTGGAGTAAAATTTTATTTGCATTACAAATAGGATACAAAAATAGTTGAATCAGGATACAGAAATCTGTGTTTGGATTAGTTATCCCTGTTTTATTTTTTCAGATGTGCTTAATTTTATGGTGTAACTAAAGATTTTGTTTGTGTAATGCATGATTAAGACAATAAAGTATTTTTTCTAGTCTTCCAAAAACTTTTCTGATCAGTTTGCGAGTTTTGATGAGTTTTGTAAGGTTTTTGTTTTACAAACTATGAATCAGCAAATTTTTAAGATTGTACCACATAGCAAACGTACAGCTGTTGAAAAATAATGTATATAAAATGCATATAATAAATATTAAATTGTGTACCTGTATGTTACTGTTGGCTACATTATTTTGTGTTGATTTAATAAAGTGCAATACTTTACTCTCCATCATTAAACTAGGAAATGGAGATGATTTCTCAGTGAGTCCTTCATTTTTATGCTGTTCTATTAAACTTTGTATTGCTTATTGAGACTCTAATTAAAGATTAGGACAGTTAACACTATTAAGAATGACTTTCTACGTATTTCACCCCATTTGGGAATCTTAAAAAGTCTTCTATTAGGGGCGTCTGGGTGGCTCAGTGGGTTAGGCCTCTGCCTTCGGCTCATGTCATGATCCCAGGGTCCTGGGATGGAGCCCCGCATCCGGCTCTCAGCTCAGCAGGGAGCCTGCTTCCTCCTCTCTCTCTGCCTGCCTGCCTCTCTGCCTACTTGTGATCTCTGTCAAATAAATAAATAAAATCTTAAAAAAAAAAAAGTCTTCTATTAAAGTAAGTTAGATAATTCACAATAACCAAAAAAAAGAAAAAGTAGAGATCCAGTATTAAATCATTTCCTTAAATGTATTTTTTTTTTTTTTTTTTTTTTTTTTTTTTTTTGACAGAGAGAGAGAGAGGGAGTACAAGCAGGGGAAGAGGGAGAGGGAGAAACAGTCTTCCCATGGAGCAAGGAGCCAGATGTAGGGCTTGATCCCATGACCTGAGCGGAAGGCAGATGCTTAATGACTTAGCCACCCAGGTACCCCTTAAATGTTCTGTTTATTAAATCTGGATTTCAGTTAATAGTGTTGTCATTCCGGCGCCTGGGTGGCTCAGTTGGTTAAGCAACTGCCTTCGGCTCAGGTCATGATCCTGGAGTCCTGGGATCGAGTCCCACATCGGACTCCCTGCTCCATGGGGAGTCTGCTTCTCCCGCTGATCTCTCTCTCCTTTCATGCTCTCTCTCTCTCTCTCTCTCTCTCAAATAAATAAATAAAATCATTAAAAAAAAAAAATAGTGTTGTCATTCCTATCTAGCCATACCTATTTCCACAAAAAAAGCAGAGAATAAACTGCGTTACTCAATTAAAAGTTGTTCTTATAAATAATAAGTATCTTGAAACTTTTTCTTTCAACAAGGTAATATCCTTTTTTGAAGAAAATTGGAAATGGAATTAGAGAGTAACAAAACTTAAGTGGCAAAATTCTGTCTGAATTATTAGTGCAAAAAAAATTACATTGTGTGTACATTGAGAAATTGTGTTTTCTACATAAAAATACAAGTGTCAATTTTAGTCATTGCTGGTGAAATACTAAAATTTCAGAAATTTTCTTGAAGTGATAGAATTTTTTGTTTTCTGAAGATTCAACTTAATGAACAAAGTAAAAGGCATATTTTCTCCTTTTTTTTCTCCTTAGTTTTTGAAAATAACAATTTTTCCAAAGGTAGTATGGTTTCCGGCACCTATTCCAAACTGATGTGTTACTGTTTAACTTGTCATCATCGCAGAGCATAAACATTCACCTCTTGGGATGTGTTAAAACTGAAATGAATAAAAATTAGTATAGATGTTTATTTTTCTCTTCTCTACTTTGATTGTATTCTTCTCTCCAGTGTTAAATGTTTGGAAGAGACTAAAGGATGCAAAAAGAGAAAGTCTTATTTTGTGTGCTCCCTTTTGTGACTTATAGGAAGTTATGTAGACTGATTTGACTATGAAATGGTGCTTTTTTTAAAGTTTAAGAATATTTTTGTATACAAATGTTAATCTGTTGACTTTCTCAGTATTTAATCATAATCTGCCCTTTTCATACTTTATTTTTGTGTAATTTTCTCACATTTCAAAGTTAGTTATCCACTAACGACTAGTACCTCATTTAACACCTTAAATGTTATAAAAAGCCTAGCGTATTTGAAATTTAGGCATGCCTGCTAAAGTTGGATTGTAATACATCTTTTTAAAAATCCTTTTACTCCCTTTTACTTAACGCTTTTTTTTTTTAAAGATTTTATTTATTTATTTGACAGAGATCACAAGTAGGCCGAGAGAGAGGGGGAAGCAGGCTCCCCGCTGAGCAGAGAGCCCGATGTGGGGCTCGATCCCAGTACCCTGGAATCATGACTTGAGCTGAAGGCAGAGGCTTTAACCCACTGAGCCACCCAGGCACCCTAAGTTAATGCTTTATCTTGTTTACTGACATGAAATAATTGATAGTAACTTGATAGAGTGGTCATTTCTGCTCTTAGTGTTAAATCAATCAGAGTGTTAGTTTCCCTGGTTACATCAGATGCCTCAGAACTTTGTCCTTTATAAAATTACCTTCTTTAAAAATGCTTGTAATGTTTGGAAGCTGGATTTTCATTTAATTTTTCAAGGAGTGGTACTCTCAGCTAAGTATTTGTTTTCTGTTTATGGAGGGAAAAGGTTAAACCCATTTTTGCTTAATTAAATAAAAATTCTTGTTAAATGAGTCAATTAATCTTTGAGGCATTTTGTTAAGGGGCGGGCGCAGTTTGTCTTCCCATACCCCATTTTGCCAAATTTTTAAGTAGTGTTAAAGGCAATTTCATTTCTGCCTTTCTGAATACATGATCCTTTCATCCCTTTTATATAACCTGTGAAATTGTTAGACTCCAAAGATTCAGAATTAATACATGTACTCCAGTAAATCATTTAACACCTTTTTCAGGTCAACGTGTTAATTGTTTCAGATAGGATCAGTGTATGTGTGAAGGGGAATAGTGTGCATAGGTTGGATAGGGGAGAGGGCAGGTCCTCTCTGTAGAAAAGATAAGGCAGACTGGATGACACCTCTGTCTGAAGGGAGAACTCTTGGTGAGGTAATGATAGTTATATTAAGGTAATTCTGATCACTTTTCAAAAGCCAACTTTATAAGCATATGTAATTAAGAATAATGTTAATTACAAAACATACTTGTTGAACTAAGTAATCAAAAACATCTCATGCTGTTTAACTTGGTAGTGGCTGTGTATAATGCCTAGAACAGGAGACATTCAATAAATAATTGAATAAATGTAACAGTTTTAAGAAAAAATTCAGAATTGGTCTTTCTGCATAAAATAGTGAATGTAGGATTTTTTACCATGTCCCAGGGATAGATACTTGGAATAATAAAAACAGCTTAGAATAATAGTCACTAACAGTTTTATTGCTTAGTCAAACTACAATAGTTTTTCCTGCAGTCCTTTTTTTAATATGTGCTTTCCCTCAATGCCAAATGTTTACAAGTATAAATAGTAAATAAAAATTTACCAACTTAGCTTTTTTTTAAGTACATGGATGACTTTCAGAGTATAAGCCAAATATATCAATACACATATAAAATTAAGGATATAAATAGAAAAATATCAGGCAATCCTATCTTGTTCAGTGTGATATTTCCATTATGTTATTAGGAAAATACACTACATAAGAAACTTCAGACCTAATGCCCTTCCATTTCATTCATAATTACAACTTTTTAGAATGTAAGTAACAAATATGGTTGATTAGTTTTAAGACAACATCTATCAGGACAAAATAACATTTGAACTGAGTTAACTCTAAGTTTCGTTTTCCTTACATATTTAATGCAGAATGATTAGAGAAGGAATGTTGCTTTTGTTCTGAGTATCATTCTTTTATTGAGCTATGGAATTTGCATTTCTATACATATTCTATACATTTAATATGCCTTTTGGGATTCTTAAGATTTGGATGCACAAATCCTCTTTCCTGAGTTTCTAAGGGTCATGATTATGAAGCCTAGGCAGAGTGTTTAACAATTCTAAATTGTCATTAAAAGGTAGTTGCTTTAAATGAATGCTTATGTGCTTGAAACAGCTGTTGGCATTTTTAATATAGTAGTTTTGTATCTGATCCTATTATGCTATATAGTATTTTGGTATTATGAGAAAATGACTTATACATTCTGTCCTCTTACACTTTTTCTTTCAGTTGTCAAAATGTCACCATTATTGCTGGGATTCCAAGAAATCTCTACAGATGCCTCTGATAACATCAGAAACAATTGGTTCTAATCCTGTGAACTCTCTTGTGAAGAAAGCATGTGACTCCTTTGGTTTAGAGGCCATATCTTTCAGGTCATCCAAAGGTGCCCAAGCCACACCAACAGAGAAGATGGTGATACCTACAATGAAAATATATAAGTGAATTAAAGCCAAGTTCCAGCTTATATATAAAATTAGATTAGATAAAAATAGAAAAAAAATATTTTTTCATGAATTAGTAAATAGTTGTAGCAAAAACTCTCCAGTAATGTCTGAAGAACTAAATCTCCTTCACCAAATGGTTAGGTAGGTTTTAACGTCATTATAATGAGAATGACTAAACCGTTGAATCAAAACAAGAAGCTCTGCCATCAGTATAAATTAGCGCATTTACAGATAAATCACATGATCACTGACAAATACTTGGTAAGCTGATATCTTAAAAAACAAAACAAAACACTAAGACACTTACTGAAATGGGAAACTTCCTGAGATTGGCATGAGAATGGGCTGCTTGCCATCATCACTCCAATTAATAATTTTACTGGAGTCCAAGCCAATGTGACCGCATGAAAGAATGACACAAAATTTGGGATATGTAAATGCAAGTTTTCTAAGGCTGTTGCATTGCCAGGGATGGCGACCAGCCTCTGTGAATATGAATATTGAAAATTTTCTTGCATTTTGATGTGTATGTTACATTGGCAAACTGACCTGTAGTCAGAAATTTGACCAAAGCACAGATCTGGTGATAAAAACAGCCAAAAGAGCAAGGTCTGGGAACTGGAATAATTTCTTCTAGTTAGGCATTGAGGCATAACCTCTGCATTCCCTTGTACTACTAGAAGGCTTTTACTCTGACCACATTTTGGCTAGGGTGATTACTACATTAGTTTGATTCACCTCGATCCCAAGTGTAGTATTTGTTCACCATCTTTCTTTTGGGTGAAATTCCCTATAATGTTTTGAGAGTTTTTGAAAAATCGGCTCTTCTTTCTAAGACTTATCCCCCTTCTAGTATTCAGTACCAAGAGTTGTGAATACTTAACATACAAATAGATCAGGTTTAGTATATGTAAAAGCTCCTTGAAACTATTTATTACCCCTGGTTAATACTCCTCTGGCAAAAAAAAA